CAACACACACAAAAAGTCACTCCAGCAAAGTGCCATAAAAAATTCAAACCCAACCCACACCTCCTCACATCTGAATTCAAGGCCTATTCATTCTGTTAACTAGCAAGTGCATTATTGCATTTCTGATACCATCCAGGACTGCAACTTCTTAACGAGCTAACGGGGTGATTGACTGACAAACGGGGTCACAAGCCATTTTAGCAGGAGCCTTGTGGCACCTTAGAGGCTAAGATGTTTGTTTGCGGCACTCCTAGCCGGTGATATCTTTGACACCGCTTACAAAGGATGTTTTCTGCAGCTGTGGTTTGTGGTGAGGAAGAGGCAACACCTAGGAGATTTAAAAATGAGATAACCATTTTAAGCTCCAGGAATCAGTGGCTCTGGCAAAGGTACATGCAAACAGACGCAGTCCCCATGAATGCATGCAGCTCATAAAAGAAAAGGAACATAAAGCAGGTCCTGTGTTTCCTGGCCAAATTAAATTTCAGTTCTTGCCCATTGTATGTGGAAATCAATTGTAGCTACAGCTGAAGTTGCAAAATGGTAGCAGAAATGCAAAAAGTAAAACAGAATAGGGCCACACTCAAACCATACATTTAAAGCACTATGAGACTGTTTTAAACAAACATGGCTTCCCCCAAGGAATTCTGGGAGCTGTCATTTCCTAATACTGCTGACAGTTGTTACGAGACCTCAATTCCACTCCCAGAGCTACAATTCCCTGGGAAGAGGGATTGATTGCGAAACCACTCTGGGAACTGTAGATCCACGAAGGGAACGGGGTCTCCTAACAGTTCTCAGCACCCTTAACAAACCACAGCTCCCAGAATTATTTGGGGAAAGCAGTGACTGTTTAAAGCAGTATCATAATACAGGCATGGTGTGAATGTGGCCTAGGTCTCAATATGTATGTGGAGTTTTGGGTCCAGGTCTGCTCTGATTACAGTCTGAAGTCCTATCAGAGTTTTGTACAGAACAATGGCTTTTTAGGGTAGACCCAAGGACCAAGCATGGATCTTCACAGAGCATCAAATCATCCTCGGCTGTAGCAGGCTTTTTACAGTTATCACAGAGAAGAAATTGAAGGCTCACATGATAAGGGAACTTTAAGGCACAATATTCCATATACTCAACCACACACATTCAGCAACCACAGCAAAGAGCGAAAGGAAAAAGAAAAAGAGCGAGCAAGATACAGGTTTTCTAGAATAACTGCTCATTCATAGCTTCTGACCTGAAATTGAGGCGTAACAAGATTCACTGCACTGACGACTTTTGCATTGCCACAGAGCAAAACAGAAATGTTGATAGCGTCCACCTTTCCAAAATGGCAAATTTGGCATGTGTCTTCTCCCCTCCCCCAAATTGTCCAGGTAGTCTCAACTTTTGTGGACCAAAGAAATGGCTTTGGTCTGTGTAATAGTCACCCTCAGGGAAAATCCATGCCTCTTCTCACACAAAGTAAGGGAAACTGCAATCTCCTACCTCTACAATTCCCATCACCCCTGACCATTGGCCATGCATGCTGGGGCTGATAGGAGTTGTAGTCCAGCAACCTCTAGAGGACCAGAGGTTCCCACCCCCTGCTCAAGATGATATGAGTTGGGGCCAAACTCCCTGTGAACAGGTTACTGGTTTCTGACTAGCCCACAGACCAGAACTCTAAGATGGCAATGCTAAAGAGAGCTGTAGAATGGCAACTTGGAAGAAAACTTAGCACTACCCTAAGGAGACATGTCACTATTCCACTTGAAACTATTTTAGCTTTCCTTGAAGCTCTTCAGATGTTTCCCCTAAGGAAGAACTGCCAGAAGGGCTTCAAGTTCCATTGCAGATGACATCCTACAGACATGCAAACCCCCCTCTGAGAAATTGCACCTAGTCTTTTAGGCATTCCATGAGACTATGATTTATACTCAGAGTAGACCCACTGAAATTTATGTACCTAAGTTAGCCACGTCCGTTGATTTCAATGAGTCGGATTAATGTTGGCTGGAACCCTTAATTGTTCTGCCAGACTATTTGATTTTGGATGCAGTTCTGATGGCAACACGCTACCCATTCACAACAATTCAGGATGAATAGCCACACTAAAGGGTTATCTTAGAATGACTGGAGAGAGGAGGTGGCTATGCAGTTGGTTCAGCTGTTTTTATATATGCAATTGTTTTACGTATGTTTTATTGTATCATGAAATGGCTTCAAGATGCTTAATAATAATAGATCTGTGGGGTCAGTATGAATGACACCTGCAGGTCCCTTCCAAACCTGTGACCTGTGAGGTCAGAAAGAGTTACAGGAAGCCTGCTGAACCAGCCAAACCTGCTCCTTTGCTAAGGAGCTTATCTGGCCAGTGAAGTAGCTCCATTTACATGTCCAAAGTGGTTGCCTGCTTCCATGAATGGGTGAGTGTTTTCCCACATCACCTAATTGGATGCCACATCCTTCTGGAAGGGAGAACAATAGGCGAAGGGTGACCGTGTGTTTCTGCTTGTGAGTTTGGGTAGGACGACTGGGGAATCTGTGTCAGAAGGTCTGCAAACACCACCTTGGTAGTCAAGCTAAGCTGGGGGCTAACTGTGATTTGCTGCAAGAATATCTCACAAATGCTTATCTGCTTGGGAGCTTGGGAGCCTTTGTTTCTTTCGGTTAGTGGGGACAAGGGAGCTTCTCAAGCTGGCTGCTCCTCAGCTACTCCTCTATCTGAGAGGTGGGAGGGTCCTCTAAGCCAGGGGTGAGTTAATAGGGCTATTGATGCCAGCTTACATAGCTTCCTTTGTGTATAAATAATACTTAAAATATCAGCACTTTGCAGACAATTCTGCTCTGCTGTTGGCCCTGTGTCTGTAATGGCAGCGAGACTTTGCAGGCGGTGTTGTCAGTTTAGACCTCTTATAATAAAGCACTAGGGACGTGGGTTAAACCACAGAGCCTAGGACTTGCCGATCAGAAGGTCGGCGGTTCGAATCCCCACGACGGGGTGAGCTCCCGTTGCTCGGTCCCTGCTCCTGCCAACCTAGCAGTTCGAAAGCACATCAAAGTGCAAGTAGATAAATAGGTACCACTCCAGCGGGAAGGTAAATGGTGTTTCCGTGCGCTGCTTTGGTTCACCAGAAGCGGCTTAGTCATGCTGGCCACATGACCCGGAAGCTGTACGCCGGCTCCCTTGGCCAATAAAGCAAGATGAGCGCCGCAACCCCAGAGTCGGTCACGACTGGACCTAATGGTCAGGGGTCCCTTCACCTTTACCTAATAAAGCACTAGAATTGATCCCTCTGGTGTTTTCTATAGGCTTCTTTGATATCCCTGCACCAAACCATGCACACAGTCCCTCTGCTGGGCCTGTGGATCAGGGCAGAGTTTTGGCCGATGCTGGAAGTTGGAGACACAGAGGCTTGTCTTGATCTGTGCTGGTCCCAAAGCTGTGGCTCACGGCTCCCTGGAAACCTAATGGAGGAGCAAGATATGCTGGGTTGTTGCTGCTGTGAGCTGTTCCATCCCATACGCAGGTTGTATATATGCGTAAATAAAGACACCATCACCTTCATGGACCTTCATTCCAAGGAAACTGAAACCTGGGTAAGCACTGGAACCCCTGGCATCTCTCACCGGTTGGAAACTGAGATGTACACAACGGTAATAGCAATGGAAGCCAACAACTTGGGACACTTCATTTAATTTTCCTTGGAACATGCCAGAGCTGCCAACAGATACATTCAGTGCAATGATGGCTGATGTCCATTGGGACTGGTAGGGCGGAAGGCAAGGAGACTAACAGCAGGTGGCGCCAGAGCCAATGGCTGGCAGAGTCATTCTATGTTTGTCCCCCTCCTCCTGTCTGCTGAGCTGAAGAAGGGGCAACATAGGGGAGGAAGCAGACAGCCAGAGCCACCCCCCTAGACTGGTTGTAGGCAAGAAGGGCTGGCTGTGGGCACTCTAAGGTTGGTGGGCAGTGCCCCATTTGCCCTAAGTAAACCAGCCTCCGCTGATTCAGTGGTAAAAAGGGAAACCACCAGGGCTGATTGCTGCCAGCGTGACTCTAACTACATAGGGATTGCCAATATTCCGAACACACTGCGATCAGTAGGAAAAGGGCTGATGTCCTCAAGTTCCTTATTTATAAGTCATTGGTGTTTTTTTTAAAAAAAAGAAAGAAAGCAGGAAAAACATGCGACATTCCACTGAACGCTAAATAGCCACTTTCCTCCTAGGCACACTTCAGTCTCCAATGCCCCCAGCCGAGATGGCAAACTGTTTATACACTCTCAGATGCCTAAAGCGCGGCGCTCAACATTATTATTGAGTTGTGCAGAGGCAGTACAGAGGCAGCCTCTGTGCAAAGCGGCATCAAAGCACGAGAAATGTAAGGTCAGTTAAGGCTAACAGTGCGCAGAGGAGCCAGTACCTGGAGGGCAACCAGTTGGCTACCCTGGAGAGCTCCGTTGGTTAGAGCATGGTGCTGACGATGCCAAGCTTGCAGGCTCAATCTCCCAATGGTACAGCTGCATATTCCTGCATTTTCATGGGGTTGGACTAGATGATCCTCAGGGTCCCTTCCAACTCTGCAATTCTATGATTCTGCCCCTGGCTCTCAACGGACCTCGACATCGGTCACTTTGCAAACCGCTTTGGGGTTTTCTTACAACCGAGTGCCGCACAAATGTTGTGGAACAAGCAATACGCAAGTGCGTGGGTCGGCGCCAGCCCTGGTACTCAAGCACATTCATCCTTCGCTGGCTGTAGCATTCGGGTATGAGCGAGCATCACAGCATAGGATTTCCACATCGCCATGCACCAGCAGACACACAGTGAGGTCCATTTGCACGATCAGCTGGGAATCCTCACAAGCACCCCTAGAGTTAGCTAATGATGTGTGTGCAAAAACGAGCAACAACACAGGCAAATACGAGGCATTTTAAGTTGGCTCAGAATGATGGTCCCCTCCCTCCCCACCCCTTTGCTAGACTTCTCTAAAGATTTTTCTTACTTGCCCCCCTAGAAAAGAAACATTCAGAGACGGCTTTAACTGCCCTTTGCATAAGAACGATGGCTTTGCTTGTGGAAGTTAAGAGGACACCCTCGTATAACATATGTCAGTATTAGTCCTTCTTGAACTTAAGCTTTCTTTAAAATAAAAATGAAATAAAGTTACAATGTACAAATGCAAACAAAGAGATCCATATGCTTGCAAATGATGGATCTCATTAGGGCCCAACCCTTTGGATTGTTCTCCCGCGTAAACCCGAAGGAAATTCAGTAGGAGCCATAGAACAGCACAATACGGACTTCATCTCAGCAGTGCATCTTCAGGAAAATGTTGTGTCGTTTAATGCTGAATGATGCAACTTTCAAAGGTTCAGATAGAAACTTCCCTAGACTGGAAGGCACACCCACACTGCAGATGTAGGCCACATCTGCATCACACATTTAAAGCACTAACAGACCTCTTTGAACAGCCACAGCTTTCCCCAAAGGAATCTTGGGAAGTGTAGTTTGCTAAAGGTGCTGAGACCCCTATTCTGAACTGCAATTCCCTGAGTGGTTTAACCGTCAAGCCCTCTTCCCAGGGAACTATGGGATTTATAACTCTGCAGGGGGAAACAAGGGCCTCCTAGGAAGTCGCAGCACCCTTAACAAACTACAGTTCCCAGGATTTCTTGGGACTGTTAAAGTGGTATAAATGCGCTTTCAATGTGTGGTGTGGATTCAGTCTTAAACTCGCTTCTTCTTGGAGTTTAATTTTGACGTAAGCCCAAAGGAAAGGCCCTGTTACTGCCTCCTACTGACTCTGCCTCCCTAGGGAACTGTGGGAATTGTAGTAGGAACTGATAGCAAAAACCTCAGCAAACTATAGTTCCCAGAGTAAAAATTGGTACAAATCTGCCATGAGCTTGTAGTGTCAATCGGGACTTGGTGCATTCCTCGTTTTGGGTTCTGTGGCCTCTTGCACCCTCCTGTCTAATACTTCTCTTTGGCAATTTCACCACATACCATGGGCAGCAATGGCATCCTCACCAATCTTTGTTGATCTTTTTGCCATCTTCCTTTGCGTGACATGCTCGAGGGTCGTAGAAGACATTTCCTAAGCTTCAGCTGGCTGCCTTCATCAACTGTGAACACTGGGACAACTGCCTCGTATGGTTCACTGAATCAAACATATATTTGTCCCCCAAATCACACACACACACACACACACACACACAACGACCTGCCAAAGCATTAATACTGATAAGCACCCTGCCACTGAACCGTCATATCAGTTTGACATGAACTCAAAGAGGATCTCTTAGAAAGCGGTGATCACGGGGCGAATGCGTTTTTCTGGCTCACCAAATTCACTGAAGTTACACAAAGTCAGAAGTGCCAAGCAAAACAAGGAACCATGCGTGCTGGCAAAGTCAGCGAGCCAGCAAATGAATGGCTAAGCAGAACAATCTCAGAACAGTTAATAGCGTGGAATATCCTAAGCAAAAAAAGCGTGAAAAGGAATCCATATCTGTAACGGCAGAGAACCCTTCGGTGCCGAAGGACTCCCTTAAAATGAAAGCGTGTTTCTTGACCCTTTTGAGAAGTCAATCCCACCCGCCCTTTCTGATTCTCACCAAAAACCTCACTAACGGATTAGTCTCCTGTCGTCAGCTTACGTTTCCTAAGCAAGGGTGGTCTAGTTAAGCTGCTAATGTTAATTCATCTATATACATAACGGACAAATCAAAAAGCCACTGATCGCTGAGCACAAGATCTCTCTCTGCTTCTGAGAAACCTGACTATTGCACCAGTTCCAAGCGATGTTTGTAACCAAGCTGGCCGAAGCTCGCCCATCATTGCAGCCTAAGATGATGCACTAACCTTTGACCTCGCCCTACGGTTGCAGCTAGTGCCTTGCCGTAGCAGGCTAAGAAGCCCTCCTAGCCGCTCAGAAGCAAAGCAGCCAGCAGGTCTACAAGAAAAGAAAGCACGACCGTTACTCCATCTTATAAATAAGCAACTGAGAATTCTGCTCCAGGTGGCCACTCGTGTAGCCCACTCCATAAATGGCATTCTCCGTAGGGTAAGGCACGATATGATACGAATGCAGCTCTTCGTAATAAAGGGATTGAGAACGGCATTCTTGGACCATGAACTTCAGCCGTTTTCGTGCATCCGCGTAAGCAGTCCGGCAGCACGGACTCCCCTTAAAGTATTCATAGCGTTCCCTCTCCGTTTCCAGGTGAATCTTCCGCAGCAGGTTGTTGATCAAGACGGACCGGCGGAGGTAGATCTCAGGATCTTCAAGGAACTGGAGCTTCTGCAGAGAAAGTTTCAAGATACAAGTCCGGTCTTCGGGCAGGATCAGGTGCTGAGGTGAGTTTAAAGGATAAATAGAGACCGTTAGCACAGAAAACTGATTTAGTAAATAACAGAAACATCAGATGTGTGGGATGCAACATAAGCAGTCAAATACAACATTTCCTGTTTGCCTAGAGTGGACATGCAGGGGAATGTTGGTCCAGCCAGTTGAACTTCCTGTTACACCTGGTCTGGAGCATCCTTCCTTTGCATGTGACCAGGTAGGTTGGCGTGACCCTTCCAGACCTAACAAAAGGCCCAGTCATGCTGCCACCTTCCTCTTTTGATGCCTTTTCTTGTCTTGGACTGCATGTGGGATGAGTTCCCATATGGGATGAACTCAAACCCTCTTCTGTAACTCTAAGCTAAAGCCTGCCTTCAGGGATCCAACTGTGAACTGAATGTGAGTAAACTTCTTATTACTTTTAAAAGAAGACTGTTGTGTCTGTATTCTTTTAGGGGGGGAATCAAAGGGCTCTTACCAGGAATAATAGAACTTAAGAGATTCTAACCAATCTGCAACTAGCTTCCTGCTGTGTAAAGAGGGGAATGTACTCTGCTGTATGAATAAACTCACTAGCGTGAGTTAGGAAGGATAATATTTAATCAATATATCCTCTCCTGCTACACCACAACATTCCCACATGATGGTGAAGAAGACTGGATTCAAAACCTGTACAAAGGTGGGCCAAATTTGCACCCAATTCTCCCTCCGTTGAACTGCATCATGAGATGGAAGGGACTGTTAGGGTTATCTGGCCCAAAATCCTTCCTTTTCTCTGTCCTGAGGCTTCCAACATTCAGCCTCTCTGGGTTTCCATGAGTTTTAGTGTTATGAGAGAGGGGGAAACCGTTGTTCCCATCCACATTCTACATGCCATGCCTAATTTTACAAACTTCCACCATGTCACCATTTTCTCTAAACTATGAAGGCCCAAAATGCTGCAACCTTTCCATGTAGGAGAGTTGACCCACCTCCTTAATCATTTTGGTTGCCCTATTCCGAATCTCCCGTCATCCCTGATCATTGGGCAGATGGAATGAGGATGATAGGAGATAAAGTTCTACAACTTCTGGAGGGCACCAGCTTGGGAAAGGCCATGGGACTTTGGATTTCAACTTCAAACAGAATGAAAAATTAAAGCAAATGGGGCCCTTCTGAATTCATTGGGAAGCAAATGCTATGAGTAACAAAAGCATTTCAGAACTTGTGTTTTTATTGTTTTGCGTGCTCTGTGCAAACCACTTAGAGGTCACTTTGTGACAGAAAATAGTATATAAAAGCATCAAATAAATAAATAAATTTGGCCTCTCTATTGGATTGAAGGGACACGGGTGGCGCTGTGGGTTAAACCACAGAGCCTAGGACTTGCCGATCAGAAGGTCGGCGGTTCGAATCCCCGTGACGGGGTGAGCTCCTGTTGCTCGGTCCCAGCTCCTGCCAACCTAGCAGTTCGAAAGCACGTCAAAGTGCAAGTAGATAAATAGGTACCACTCCGGCGGGAAGGTAAACGGCGTTTCTGTGCACTGCTCTGGTTCACCAGAAGCGGCTTAGTCATGCTGGCCACATGACCCAGAAGCTGTACGCCAGCTCCCTCGGCCAATAAAGCGAGATGAGTGCCGCAACCCCAGAGTCGGTCATGACTGGACCTAATGGTCAGGGGTCCCTTTACCTGTTAGATTGAAATTAGGTCTCTACAGCAATGTTGTAAGTTAGAAGAAGAAGAGTTTGGATTTGATATCCCGCTTTATCACTACCCTAAGGAGTCTCAAAGCGGCTAACATTCTCCTTTCCCTTCCTCCCCCACAATAAACACTCTGTGAGGTGAGTGGGGCTGAGAGACTTCAGAGAAGGGTGACTAGCCCAAAGTCACCCAGCAGCTGCATGTGGAGGAGCGGAGACGCGAACCCGGTTCACCAGATTACGAGTCTACCGCTCTTAACCACTACACCACACTGGCTCTCTTTGTTTGTTTGTCAAAATCTATTATCAGAGAGTTATTATTTTTCAGTGGCGGGGGAGGGGAGGTCAATTCTTTTTGATCTCAGAAGCATACTCACTTTTGGAAAATACCCCTGGTAATCCTGATGTAAATCTTCTTCTTCTTCTGCATATTTCCTCTTAAAATAGGCTACTTTCGACGTTGTTAAGGTATTTGTCGATACTTGGCTGGGACCTGCTGTGCAAACAAGGAGGAGTTGTCATTAGGAATTGTGCTGTTGGTTTTCCATATGCCTGTTTCCATTGGACTGTTGACTTCAGTTGTGTTTAATCCCAGCTTTATTGTGTTAGGAAACATTTTTGATAAAGCAGGTTATAGATATTCTAAAGAAAGAAATATGGTTTGTTTTTGTTTTCAGAAGTAAAATCAATTTTTGTTGCATTTGGCAGCAATTTTCTACAATCACACGGCATCCATTTGCAAGCAATTGCACCATGATCAGCTCTATGTATGGACCCAGCAGAACCGTGGAGGAAGTATATAATACGGGAGTTCCACCCCAGGTCTTTTCCCAGAGGAAATGGAATGTCATCTGCTGGAGCACTGGGGGAATTAACAAGACACCCCCTCTCACGGGCTTGTTGGGAGGATTAAATGGAGAAAGGGAAGAACAATGTACAGTGGTATCTTAGTTCTCAAACACCTTGGAACTCAAACAACTTGGAACCCAAACACTGCAAACCCAGAAGCAAGTGATCTGGTTTGTGAACTTTTTTCGGAAGCCGAACATGCTCTGTTTTGAGTGCTACACTTCCGTTTGGAGTGTTACACTGAGCTCTGTCTCTTTTTGCTATTTATTTTGTGGTTTTGTTTTTGTGGCTCTTTTTGTTTTGTTTTGTTTTGTTTTGTTTTGTTTTGTTTTGGTGACTGTGTGGAACCCAGTCAGTCCAGCTACTGATTGACTGATTGTGTGACTGCAGTACATTGTTTATTGCTTTCATTTTATGGACCGGTGGTCTTGTTAGATAGTAAGATTCATGTTAAATTGCTGTTTTAGGGGTTGTTTTTAAAAGTCTGGAACAGATCAATCCATTTTTGCATTACTTTCTGTAGGAAAGCGCACCTTGGTTTTGGAATGCTTTGGTTTTGGAACGGATTAAGTTTGAGAATCAAGGTACCACACCTCTGAGCTCCTTGGAGGAAAAAAAGGTGACATGTTAATGTAAGAAATGGATTATATAAAAGCAAAAAGGAGGGGGATGTGGCGGCCGAGAAAGCAGTAGTACTGCCCTGTCTAATGCTGTAGAGGGGAAGAGAGGAGGAGAAAGGATTGGGAGGCAACAGGAGAGAGGACCATGCTTTCACCAGGAAGGCAGAATCACCAACCACCCACCTCAGGCAATTTGCAATTATGGGATGTTAGCCCTGCACAGATGACTTACCGCACAGCTGGATGCTTTAAAATATAGATTTCCCTTTCGGCGCAAGGTGGCAGTGTTGACACATTGAAAAACCTTAGTAGGTGTTCCAGCCAAAACCAAAATAAAAGTATTTCCTCTCGCAGTCACATTCAGTTTAGCTACTTTATTTTATTTTTTATTTTAAAAATTCAATAAAACATTTAGCATTCAACGGTGCTTCCTTTTGTCCTTTCGAGCAGAACTCTCTCAATACAATGGGAGCAAAGGAACATAGCATCTCAGAGATGGGAGCAGAGACTAGTCTCAGAGAGCTTTCGGAAGCTGGTTGTCGTGCATTTGAGAAGCCTCTGCTTAAGGGACGCGGGTGGCGCTGCGGGTTAAACCACAGAGCCTAGGACTTGCCAATCAGAAGGTCGGCGGTTCGAATCCCCACGACGGGGTGACCTCCCATTGCTCGGTCCCTGCTCCTGCCAACCTAGCAGTTCGAAAGCACGTCAAAGTACAAGTAGATAAATAGGTACCGCTCCAGCGGGAAGGTGAACGGCGTTTCCGTGTGCTGCTCTGGTTCGCCAGAAGTGGCTTAGTCATGCTGGCCGCATGACCCGGAAGCTGTATGCCGGCTCCCTCGGCCAATAAAGCGAGATGAGCACCGCAACCCCAGAGTCGGTCACGACTGGACCTAATGGTCAGGAGTCCCTTTTACTGCTTAAGGGATGTGCTGACAATGGGAGTTTGCAAAGCCTTTTGCGTGACACTTCCCAAAAAAAAAACAACCCAGACAATCAGCTGGTTATGGGGCATTGGGAAGCATCATGCAAAGTATTCAATAATAATAATAAATTTTATTTATACCCCACCCTCCCTGGCCACAGCTGGGCTCAGGGCAGCTAACACCAGTAAAATTACAGTAAAATCATAACAGGGGGGAAAATCAATTTAAAATATAAGTTAAAATGCCATTTAAAATGCAGCCTCGCTTTAAAAGTAGCCCATAGATCAAAACCATAATGGGAGGGAAACATAAGGGTCAGACTGAGTCCAAACCAAAGGCCAGGCGGAACAAGCTCTGTCTTCCCAGTACTTCCCAGGTGCTAAGATTAGGTCTTGCAAAGTGCTTTGTGCTGCATTTCTGAAGCACCTGACACTCTGCAATAATAAATCTGTTTGTCCTTATTGGGATTTCTCTCCCACCCCCCCAACAGCGTTCCAGATTTGGAACACACTTGCAGAGTGTGCCCTTGCCGTTGAATCTGTTGCCAGCCATCCGTCTTTGTTACACTTTTGCATTTTCAGTCTCCCTTGGGGCGGGAGGTATAGGGCAAGAATGAAACCTTCTCTGATGCATGAACCGTAAGGTTGCCAAATGACCAGGGATAAAATGGTTGGACTGGGGTTCTATTTTCTTTCTTTCTTTGCTCGTTTGGCCTCAGGGCCTCTTGTCAGAATCCATGTGCAGAAGCCAGATTTTTCCTTTTTCTTTTTTTATTAAAGATTTTCTTGTTTTACAGAAGGGTAATGTCTCTCATATTTTTTCCATGTAACATTTTTACAAATCCGTTTCATTTGTTGAGACATTAGGGGGAGGAAAAAAAGGGGGGTGGAGGGAGGGAAGATGGGTGGGGGTGGGGTCGGGTGGCGATGTTTCTGTTATGCTTAATGTATGTAGGGTTTGGTGTCAGCGATGCTTGTGCTGTTCACTTGTGTTCCTTTGGTGGTGAGAGAGGTTGGGGTTAGCCTAGGGTGTGGCTGTTCATTTGTGGTTGGCTGTGGTGGTCTTTGTTTTCATGTGTGAGTGGGGTGGGTGGGTGTTTTAGATCAGGTTAGCCATATTGATTTGCATGCTGTTGGTGGATTGTTGTCATTGTCTTGTTGGGCTGTGTGTGTGATAAAGGGGAGCCATACCTGGGTAAAGGCGTCTTCTTCTGTTTGTCCCCATGTCAGTTTAAGTTTATTGGTTAATTTTTCTAGTAGGGCTGTTTCCCATACTATTTGGTACCATTGGTCCATGCTTACTCCTGACAGGTCTCTCCAGTGTCTGGTTATGGTGTTTCTGGCTGCTGAAAGTAGGTGGGTTATGAGTTCTTTGTGGTGTAAATGGGCATTGTTGTCTTGGAAGATGCTTAGTAGGGCCAATCAGAAGCCAGATTTTTGAAGGAAAAGTCGACAGAAACGTTTTCCTTTACCATGCATATTTGAACTGTGTGAGGCACACACACACATTATTATTATTATTATTATTATTATTATTATTATTATTTTATTATTATTATTATACCACCCTATACCCAGGAGTCTCAGGGCAGTTCCCAAAATAAAATCAAGAGATAAAACCACAAAAGATATAATAAAAATAAAAGCAACAACCCAATGGCCCTCCCCCCACAAAAAGCCACATTTTAAAAGGGCATAGGGTGTCAGTCAGATCAACCAAAGGCCTGGTTAAAAAGGAATGCTTTTGCCTGGTGCCTAAAGGGGTATAGTGAAGGCACCAGGTGAACTTCCCTGAGGAGAGCATTCCACAGACGGGGAGCCACTGCAGAGAAGGCCCTGTTCTCGTGTTGCCACCCTCTGGACCTCTCGAGGAGGAGGCACACGAAGGAGGGCCTCAGAAGATGATCTCAGGGTCCAGGTAGGTCATATGGAAAGAGGTGGTCTTTGAGGTATTGTGGTCCTGAGACATCTGGGACTCAGCTACACAGGTCAATTATAATGTTATAACTACGTTATAAAAATGTGACATGAGATGGCGCTGTAGAGCTGGAATCCAAAGTGAATGGTAAATTGCTTTGGGACCTTTGATGGTGTTTTTTTATATCTGTGTAGATCCAGCCCCGGTAATGAAGGCTGGTCTAGTAGTGCAAACAGGAAATGGCCCCACCATCTTTCGACCTCCTTGGTCTCTGTGTTGGCCCTTGAAGAACTCAGCAGGGAGCAGGAGAATGGGAGGAAAACTTTGACTCCTATCAGACCCAACCAGCATGGTCAATGACCAGGGAAGATGGGAGATTGTAGTCCAACAACATCCGCAGGGCCACAGAGTCTAACCTGCCTCTGCCATTGAAATGTACTCGGAGTCGAGAGTGGATTTCATGCTTTTTATTCAGCTCATAGTGATGAGGAGGAATGGAAGTTCCCCCAGAATGTCTGCTCTATATACATTATTTACACAATAGGCCCCATGTGATTGGCTCATTCCGGGATTCTCCTGTAGGCCAATCAGGTTGCGGATTCACTTCCACCTGGAGCTGGATTGGGTGGCTCCTGTGGACCAATCAGACTGCTGCATTCTGAATCCTATTGTTCTAGGACCAATCAGACTGTTGCATTCTGAATCCTATTGTTCTAGGACCAAACAGACTGCTGCATTCTGAATCCTATTGTTCTAAGACCAATCAGACTGCTGCATTCTGAATCCTATTGTTCTAGGACCAATCAGAATGCTGCATTCTGGATCCTATTCAACTCAGTACACAAAAGGCATTCGCCCTGCTATATTTAGGGAGCGAGCCCCGTTGAACCAGGACCGCTTCTCTTCATATGAACCAATGTGGACCCTGAGATCATCTTCTGAAACCCTTCTTTGTGTGTCTCCTCCGCAAGAGGTCCAGACATTGGCAACACAAGAATGGGCATCTTCTATGGTGGCTCCTCATTTGTGGAATGTTCTCCTTAAGAACACCTTCATTATAAACCTTTAGGCTCTAGACAAAAACATTCCTCTTCAACCAGATATTTGGCTGGTTGACACCCAATGCCCTTTCAAATGTGTTGTGGGAGGGGGGATTATTGGTTTGTTTTTTGTTCCTTATTATGTATTTTGAGTTTCCTATGTTGTAATTTCATTTTGTGAACCACCCTGAGATCTATAGAAATACAAATTTTAACAGAAACAACCACCACAACAGCTTGGCGTGGGTTTATGTCTGAGCAGAAAGATCGGTCTGGCGGTGGGCTGTTTCCCTGACTTGCTCTTTCTATCCTGATTTTAAAAGGGGTGACATGCAAGGATATTTGAACTATTTTTAACCTAATCACGACACCACCACAAAAATTGGCAGCAAAAGCGGGCCTTTTTATAGGAGTGGGTTTGGAAGGCTTCGGGATCCTCTGAGCTTAAGCTAAACCGCAGTGATTTATTTACAACTTTGGGGAGGACGACTGAGAAAAACCAATTCAATTAATACTTGGCACTTTTTGTAGCTTATTGGAGCATCGAATATAATATTAATTTAAAAGCGGAGAATACTAAGCAAGATAGGCTAATGCTCTGACTGGACACAAGGCAGCAGTTTCCTGTGTTGTAAGTAAGAAAGTGGTTATAAATATATTAACAAATCCTACAAACTGAGGAGCCAGGATAGAGTCGGTCGCGTTAAAGGGGCAGGTGGCACCTTATTGTCTCTCCTGCGTCACCTGATCACAGCTGGGGTACAGCCTGCAGTACCACCGTGTGCCCATCTGCAGTGGTGGCACTGTAGAGCAGCTGAGATGAGACCATCATGTGGGTGCAGTAAGTAAGCTGAGCCTCTTGTCTCCAGCACAGCTGGTTACAGTGTTGTCATTCTGCAGCGTCGCGCTTTCATTAAAGCAATTTGTCGTACCTCGTAATGCCGAATCAGTCCACAGAGCGCCTCTCTACGGTGTTTTCAGCAGCCCTGATGAGTTTCTCCCTCCACACAGGCTCTGCTCGCATCGCTTCCCACGCAGTTCTGCTGAACAAACACCTGTTCGATTGAATCGAGGAGAGAGGGAGGAGCAGGGGAGAGGATAGAAAGGGGAGAGGGAGAGAAAGAGAGGGAAGCATGTCAGAGCACATACCTGGATGTGTCACATCAGCCCAGGACAAACTCTCGTCATTGTAATAATAATAATAATAATAATAATAATAATAATTTGTTACATACCCAGCCTATCTGGCCAGGTCTCCCCAGCTACTCTGGGCAGCTTTCAACAGAATATTAAAAGCACAATAAAACATCAAATGTCTTCTAAAAGTCAGATACAGTGGTACCTCGGGTTAAGTACTTAATTCGTTCCGGAGGTCCGTTCTTAACCAGAAACTGTTCTTAACCTGAAGCACCACTTTAGCTAATAGGGCCTCCCACTGCTGCCACGCCGCCGGAGCATGATTTCTGTTCTCATCCTAAAGCAAAGTTCTTAACCCAAGGTACTATTTGTGGGCTAGCGGAGTCTGTAACCTGAAGCGTCTGTAACCTGAAGCGTCTGTAACCTAAGGTACCACTGTAGTTGTTTATTTCCTGGACATCTGGTAGGAGGGCGTTCCACAGGCAGGTGCCACTGCCGAGAAATCCCTCTGCCTGGTTCCCTGTAATTTCAATTCTTGCAGTGAGAGAACCACCAGAAGGCCCTCGGAGGTGGACCTCAGTGTTCGGGCAGAATGATGGGGTGGAGATGCTCTTTCAGGTATACTGGGCTGAGGCCATTTAGGGCTTTGAAGGTCAGCACCAACACTTTGAATTGTGCTCAGAAACGTGCTAGGAGCCAATGTAGGTCTTTCAGGACCGGTGTTATATGGTCCTGGCGGCCGCTCCCAGTCCCCAGTCTAGCTGCCGCATTCTGGAAAGCAATACCATGAAAATGCCTGCTATTCAGGTGCCTTGTTTCCTGAAGTCTCAGGGCAACAGAAGACGCTTAGGTCCAAGGATGTGCTGCCCTTCTTCTGATAGGAAATGCTCTGCGGGGTGGGGGAGAAAAAAAGGAGGGTTCAAGGAGGATCAATTGGAGCGGGGAGTGAGAAATATCCCAATTTTCATCTGAGGAACGTTGGAGGGTATAGACCAGTTGGATCATGGCAAAGGCCCATCTAGTCCACCAGCCTGTTCTCACAATGGCCAACTGGATGACCATATAAGCCTGAAAGCGGAATCTGTGCCTTTAAGAGCATCCTGCCTACAGCAGTGGAGCACAGACATTGTGGCTAGTAGCCATTGATAGCTGTTTTCTCCATGAATTTGCCCCATCTGCTTTTAAAGCCATCCAACCTGATAGCACATCACCTTGCCAACAAAGGTCTGTATAGTAAAAGCCATGGTTTTCCCAGTAGTGATGTATGGAAGTGAGAGCTGGACCATAAAGAAGGCTGATTGCCAAAAAACTGATGCTTTTGAATTCTGGTGCTGGAGGAGACTCTTGAGAGTCCCATGGACTGCAAGAAGATCAAACCTATCCATTCTTAAGGAAATCAGCCCTGAATGCTCACTGGAAGGACAGATTGTGAAGCTGCAGCTCCAATACTTTGGGCACCTCATGAGAAGAGAAGACTCCCTGGAAAAGACCCTGTTGGGAAAGATGGAGGGCACAAGGAGAAGGGGACGACAGAGGACAAGATGGTGGGATAGTGTTCTTGAAGCTACCAGCATGAGTTTGACCAAACTGCGGGAGGCAGTGGAAGACAGGAGTGCCTGGCGTGCTCTGGTTCATGGGGTCACGAAGAGTCGGACACAACTAAACAACAACAACAACAACAACAAAACCTGATAGCCACCCCTTCATCTTGCAGTAGCAAGTTCCATAGTTCTATGCGCTGGGTTAAAAATGTACTTCCTTCTGTCTGCCCTCAAGCTTTCCCCTTGCCAGCGCAGGCTAGGAATTGTGGAGATCTTTCTTTGAAACAGTAGAAGAACTTCAGCTGTGGGCCTGTAGGATGGTCCAGAGACCACACTTTTCCTGGAGCCTTCAGGGTTGGCTTTTGGTGGCACCTCTGCATGGCATTCAAGTCTCAGAAAAAAGCTGAAGAATCCCGCGTGGTTTATGTGTGATGGGAAGTTCTCCATCGTCAGACATGCAAGTTTTAAAGACAGTTGTCGAAGTTCACAAAGATTTAGCTCCCCTGGCGATTTAGCTTCTCAAGCCCCAGGCCATGGGCCAGAACCCCAAATAATTAAAGTACACAGGTGGTCATGACTCAATTTCTAAAACTCCAACTCTCCCACAAAAATGGCAAAATGGGGCTGAGAGAGAGAGAGAGAGTTGTTTACCACATATAGGAACCAGAAGAGTCTTCCAGCGATTGGCAAAAAGTTGACAAGCTGGAACCCAAGACGATCAAGGGTCTGGAAACCAAGCCCTATGAGGAACTGTTGAAGGAGCTGGGTGTGTTTAGCCTGGAAAAGAGGGCACTGAGAGGCGATAGGATAGCCATCTTCAAATATCTCAAGGGCTGTCCCATGGGAGATGGAGCAAGCTGGGTTTCAACTGCTCTGGAACTTAGGGCATGAATCAAAGGAGTCAAATGATGAGAAAGGAGATTCTGACTCAAGATTAGGAAGATCTTCCTGGCAGCAAGAACTGTTTGACTGTGGAACGGATAACCTTGGAAAGTGGTGGACCCTCTTGGAAGTTTCTAAACAGAGGCTTGGGTGTCCATCTGTCAAGTATTCTTTAGCAGTGATTCCTGCAATGCTGGACTAAATGACCCTGGTGGGTCCTTTCCAACCCTACAGTTCTGTGATTCTATGGAGGCTGCCTGTGCTAATTTATACATTTGGGTGAAAATTTAGAAATAGGGGTTCTAGGATTTAAATGACAACGCAATGCAATTCCGACAAAAGAAGAATGGCAGACAAAGTTAATGGACTATGCAGAATTAGATAAAATGACAGGAAGGATTCAAAACCTGCAGGACCAGAGATTTACAGAAGATTGGAAGAAATATACAAACTATTTGAAGAGCAACTGTATTCATCAAATTACGCTAGTAGAACTACAAGAAGTTTTGTTAAGAGAAATGTATGAAGCATTGCAAAGTAGAGAAAAAATAGAGATATTAGTTATGAGTTAAATGTAATTGTGGAAGTAAGAAATGCATATTTATTGAATAAATTGGAAAATTTTCAGATGTGATTGATGGAAGTAAAAAAAATGGTATAAGATATGAAAATATATTTAATTACTGTTGAAAATTATATGTCAAAAAACTAATAAAAAAATTATATTTTAAAAAAATAGCAACGCAATGCAACTCACCTCTCCAGGTGCTGCTAACTGTTGATGGGCAACAGTTCTCACTCCTTTGGTTTCTTTTTCCCTATTGGCTTAAGCCAGACTCACAATAGACAGCCTTTGAAATACAGAATTCTTTCAGAGAAGGAACTGTCCTCTGCAAAGCAGGGCTGCAATTACTCTAGCGCCAGCCAGCCATGCCCTGGCCCAAGATACTCCATTGCATTCCGCTTCCTCCCCCCATTTCCCTCCCCCATGCTCAGCATTCCGTGGCTACTGAGCATGCCCAGTATTCATCAGTTTTCTCTGCAACCCACAGGGCTCCTCTAAAACCTTCCTCTTCTGCATGGGACGTGCCATTTCGGGTTCGTAAGGACAGGTTACCTCTTTCAAGATACGAAGGCTATGTTTGCATACGAGGCTGGCCCCATCTGGCAGGTGTTGTGTGGCCCAAGAGATGCTCAAAAACTCCATTACATTTGCCAAACCAGGCAAGCCCCCAAACCCATCAGTTGACCAAGTTCCAAACACGAAGAGCGGGGTGCTTTCCACATGGTGCATCCCAAACTTCACACTGGTTTTCAAGCATTGATTTCTCTCCCTCGCTACCCCCCCCGGCACGGCTCTTTTACAAACGTGGACCTGGGTTCAAATGTGACCTCAGGCAGGAATCGGCTTCAGGCAGGTCTCCTCACCCCCACCACCCCAGCTCTAAAAGGGAAGATAGCCGAGGCCTGGTCCCTCACAGGGTAACTGTGAAAAGGGAGCTTTGCAAAAGTGCTTGGCGAATGAACTCTTCAACCTCAAACCTATTGATCTGGAAGGAAGTCCCATTGATTTCGATGGCACCACTTAAGTGTGGTTAGGAAATCAGCTGGGGGAGTGGGGGCGGAACGCTGCATATACATAATTAATCCTAATTGCAGAGGGCCATGGAAGACCCTGCTCCACAATCCATCTCTTGTTCTTCCGCTGGAGAGGACAATTTGGGGGAGTCTATTAAACACCTCTAAAGCACTGGATGAGGGCCGTAGTGCCGCCACTCATGTTCAGGAGACATTGTAAGCAGATGGTTTAAAGATCTGGGTGCTCTATTAAAAAACATTTTCAAGTACACGACAAAGGCGGCAAGAGTCTTACTAACACAAGGATGGAAGAATGAAGAAATCCCCACCAAAGAACTGTGGCAAGAGAAACTGGTGGACTAATTGGCGAAATTGGCGAAATTGACACACAAACTACGTGATAAGGACAACTGTGACTTTAAAGAAGAATGGGAACCTTTTACAAAGTACTTAAAGAAACAACAAAATGAACTGGACTCCTTGGCAGGTTTTGAATAAACCTACACAAATTTATTATTGGAACATATAGATAGATAAATTAAGGATCTTTACAATTTTATAATATGCAGAGAATAACATGTGCTGAAAAACCAGAGAGAGGAGCTGAGGGAAGTCTGGGGGGGAGGGTTTTGTTTTTCTCTTGGGGGAGGGGGAAGGAAAGATAGGGAGGGAAATGAGTATGATATGTTTTTGATAAACTGTTATGTTGAAATTCCTAATAAAAAATATTTTTTTTAAAAAGATCTGGGTGCTCTGAGATGTGGTGCTGCCGAATGCACTTTTCCCTAAGACAGGTATGGGGAATCTTTCCATCCTTAAAGGTAAAAGGTAAAGGTAAAGGACCCCTGACAGTTAAGTCCAGTCGCAGACCTTACAGTTATATTATTCTGCGATGGGCTGGTTGATGGGCCTACTGATCTCTGCCAGGCTGATATAAGACCCTCAGCTGATTCCCTGCATTGACCATCCAGACAAAAGCATCACAATGTGTTTTCCTTTACTAGCACGGTCTCTTAAAACAATATTTAAAAGTCTGGATTTCTTAAGCGCACCAGCATGCCTTCACAATGAAGTTGCTCTGTACATTGATTGCCAAGGCACATTTCCATCCAAAGTATCTCACAGAATCATAGAACGGTAGAGTTGGAAGGGACCCCAGGGGTCATCTAGTCCAACCCCCTGCAATGCAGGAATCGCAGCTAAAGCATCCACGACAGATGGCCGTCCAACCTCTGCTTAAAAATACATCGGAATCCTACCCTCTGCAAACTTTGATGCAGAGCACAGGGCAGGCACCCTCTTCACTTCTGGAAAATTTGCTGGATATACTCAGGAAACTTGGTCATCCCAATTGGCGCATGCTGCTAATGACGAACCCATTTTTAAATGCTTAAAATTCTGCCAATCAGCTGTTTGCTCAGGAGAGGAGAATGGGAAGGGCTGAATCCAGACACTCCCCACCCTCAGCCTCCTCCAGCAACCCAACAGTGGGATTTGAGTGTTTTTCATAAGGAGTCCCACAGTATTGGTTGCATGCCAAACAACATTTAGTTGTGCATACAGCCTCTCATCTGTGCAGCTACAGATAAGCATGTCAAAACTATGCCCCTAGAGCAGGGGTAGGCAACCTAAGGCCGGGGGGCCGGATCCGGCCCAATCGCCTTCTAAATCCGGCCCACGGATGGTCCGGGAATCAGCGTGTTTTTACATAAGTAGAATGTGTCCTTTTTTAAAAAAAAATGCATCTCTGGGTTATTTGTGGGGCCTGCCTGGTGTATTTACATGAGTAGAATGTGTGCTTTTATTTAAAATGCATCTCTGGGTTATTTGTGGGGCATAGGGGTTTGTTCATTTCCCCAAAAAAAATATAGTCCGGCCCCCCACATGGTCTGAAGGGTGGTGGACCAGCCCACGGCTGAAAAAGGTTGCTGACCCCTGCCCTAGAGAGATCAAGCCCCAGATATCTGCATTTGCTAAGATGGTCTGTTTTTATTTCAACATTTGAAACTTGATAGGATGTGAAGATTGAAATCACAGCATATTTTATTTTTGACTGCCTCTGAGAGTCAAAATGCAGAGGCATTTTGTTTTTGATTGATGGTTTGCAGTAGAATTTAGTATTTATCACACAATATAGAATGCCATTTTGCATTTGACACCTGATGAAACTTCATAATTGATACCTGCCAAAATCCAAAACAATTAAGAGGCACCAATGAAGGACTCTAGCGGCAAAGGATTCCGGCAAAGGATGGATGAAAACTTGGAAAATTTGCTGAGTTTTTGAATGATTTTATTCATGCACCATGCTTCAGAAGATCTTGATGGACTGCTCACACCCAGCCTTTGTCTTTTGTGTATAATTGATTAACTATCATTTAATCAATTGATCAAAAAGCAATATTGATGAAATCCCCACGATTTATGAATGTTTAAAGCACTTCACAAGCATTATCTTCAGTGATCCTCACAAGAACCCTGCAAGGTAGGTTAGCATTATTCTCCTATTGCAGATGAGCGTCTGAGGAACGAAGTTTTGGCTAAGTTGAGATTCCTACATTGCAGGGGGTTGGACTAGATGGCCCTTGGGGTCCCTTCCAACTCTACAATTCTATGATTAATTGTTGAGGGGGCTTCCTAGCTCATAGGACGCTGTCTTATACCAAGTCAAACCACTGGGTCCATGTAGCTTATTATTTTGTACACTGGCAGTGGCTCTCCCAGACATTCCCAGTCCTGTCTGAAGATGCCCAGGACTGAAGTTAGGACCTCATGCATCGACACAGATACTTTTTTGCTAAGCTACAGCGTTTCCCCGATAAGTCACACACCCTAAGGCACTAAATCATAATTGCTCTATCTATCTAATTTCTCCTGTAGGTATAGATAGATCGCTATGTATAAGTGCAGAGAATGCCTGCTGAATGTAGGAAGCACAGAAACACGGGGTAGTGTCGATTCAAAGGCGCCAAGAGAAAAACTGCAGGCAGACAGCTTATTTTTCATTAATTCGCTGCAAAGTGTTATGGCGAGCCTTTCTAGTTTATATATATTTTAAAAGTGGCATGTGGAGCAAAGCAAGGACAACGACAACAAATGACCGCAGCGGAAATGAGTGGAATCTAAAACTATAAAATAAAAGATTAAATCTTAAGGAATCGAACGCACTGCCCGGAGAATAGGCATCATCTCTAAACAATGCCAGAGAATGAGCCTCAGCTCCAGTCACAAAACGGGTATTTTGATCTGCGCCTAATCCCTCCATATTGGCACGTATATGAGCTCTCTATATATAGACAGTTATTTCATCCAGGGAGGAGGCTGCTTCTCATGGGTGAGAACTTTTAGTAGTGTTTCTATGGTTACTTTTCAGAGTTTCGAACACTCAAGGCTTACAAGGTGGGGTTGTGTTGGGGACTCTCCAGAACAAAACAAAAAAATGAGTATCTGGGTGGGGTGAGCGAGGAGTTGCAAATTGGCTCTGGAGTGAGTATGAATTTACACACACACACACACACACACACACACACACACACACACAAAAATCTGGTCTTCTCCTTGCCACCACCTCGCTCGTCCTTCTTCCCCATATGACTGGATCTCTCCAGGGGCAAAGAGGGAAACTTCCTCCAAGCCATCAAGCATAAGGTTACCAGACGTCCCCGTTTCCCGGGGACAGTCCCTGGATTTACAAATCAGTCCCCATACAAAATCCTATCATTCCTACTCAAGTTGAAAAGTGTCCCTGGATTCATTGAAAAAAATCTGGTACCCTTAATCAAGCAAACACCTTCCAGCAAACATATACAGGAAGACCACAAGGTTAAAACGAGGGAGAAAACAAAAGCCACCTCAACTGTCAAGAGGGGGTTCATTTTGACTGAGATGCTGGTCACAGGATGTCATAGCCAACGCTGGCCCAAGACATTTCGGCACCCAAGGCAAAGCCCAAATTGGGGCGCGCCCCCTCTCTGCGAGGGAAGAAGGGGTGAGAGAAGATTGACATCAGGGAGAAGGCGGGAGGGAGATCCACACTGTGATCTGCTGCCCCTGGGGATCTGCCACCCAAGGCGGTCGCTCACCTGGCCTCATGCATGGGCCAGCCCTGGTCTAGCTGACTTGAAGATACATCCTTGGACATTGACTCAGAGAGGTTATAGGGCGGACGAAGCCCCCCTGTTCTTAGCTGGGGAACGCTTCGGCCTTGGTGAGGAGGAGAAGAGCACACACTTTGCAGGGGAAATGACCCAGGTTCGGTCCCTATCCTAAAAGATATCAGGTACCAGGGTAAAGGGTCTCCCCGCCCCACTCCCGGCTGCCAGTCAAAGGAAAGGAGGCGATGCTAAACTGAGTGAGCCCAAACTGGGTTTGAGCGGTCCAATAGCCCAGTTAGGCACAAACCAGCTCCATTTCTTCGCCTCGATACTTCCCCCACCCTCAGGCGCCTGGAAGCTTTGCCCCGCGTTGCGCGCTTCCTCGGCGGAGCTTGGGGAAGTCTGTGCATGCTCAGAAGCACTCTCGCCAGCGCCGAGCTCCGGGAGCGCACGAGGAAGCAGACGGAGGACACTCGGTCCCGGTGAGGACTAAGCAGGCAAAGTCCTAGCCTAAAGCTCAGAACAAGAAAACGGGGAGAAAAGGAGTCGGGATCGCCCGGTTTACCTTCCCAGTCGCTGCAGGAGCGCACATGCCAGAGAGGTGCGGGGTGCTGGCTGGGGCGGTGGGGGGCTGCCTCCTCTTTCCCACGCTCCCTTCGGCAAAAAAATAGCCTCTCCCGTGGCTGCAACAAGCCAGCCCAGCTCCTGCGGGTCCCTCCAGTCACTGTCGAGCTCATCGCCTCCCTCTCTCCCCAGAAGCAGGGAGGCGGTCGCCCAGATGTTCCCTTCCTTCCCGGATTGGTCCAGAGGGAAAAGATGTTGGGCTCGTTGCTAGGCGAGTTGCTAAGAGGCGGTGACGCTCTCGCAGCATCTCCGGAGCGGCTCGAGAGGGCCCTCGCCGAATGTCCTGCTGAGATGCTCGAGAGGCGGGGAAGGAGGGGTTTTTTGGGGGGGGAGCACACTCGGCCCCCAGCCCAGTGGGAGCGCAGGGACGGTGGGAGGCGGGAGGGAGGGGAGGGGCTGGTTAGTTGTGGGGATGGAGCCAGCGAGGCAGAACCACAGAACTGTAGAAAGGGTCTCCCAAAGGTCATCCAGTCCAACCCCGGTAAAGCAGGAAAAGTGGCTTGTGGAATAAGGAAAGGGGGAGGGGCATTACGACGGGCGGGTGGATGTGTTCAGGTGTATTTATTTTTGCTCACATTTATTTATTTAACAGATTTATCTACCAATATTATTTTTTATAAAAATATCCTGTTTACATGAAATTGGTATTTTCAAAATTATTCTTAAAATAGCAAGAAAGCTTTGAAAAAAGGAGACGTAATGGGTGGGATTCACATGGCCAGCCCCATCAGCAGATACCCTGAGCAAGGATTTCTGCTCCTCCAACTGAGCTTTGCACAAACACCCTTCGCCTCCACGCACGTGCTCCCTGAGTCCCCTGAAATCGGCTGCGATGGGGTCAGGACAACCCCCAGAAACAGGAACACAGTGCAGGGAGGAGAGAGAAAATCCTTCCATCTGGAAAGCTGAAATGTTTGCGCAGAGGGAATGATTAGAAGAGTGCAACACTGCATTCCAATTATATTTTTCTAGTAAGTTTTATATACTGCATATATTTTTTTTAAAAAAAATCTAAGTGGTTATCATAAAATGTCACACACTTTTAAAATCAATTAAAACAGACTTTAAAATAGCAAACATTATATGATTATTTACATATATATATATTGCATAATAATAATAATTCCAAAGCAGTTTGTTTTTTATATTGCATTCATATTCTACCTTCCCGCCCCCCAAGGAGCTTAACTTGGCATACATGGTTCTCCCCATCCTCATTTGTTCACCACAACAGCCCTGTGAGGTAGGCTAGGCAGAGAGGCAGTCACTGGCCCAAGAACCCTGGTCTCCCAGGTCCCAAGGGACGCGGGTGGCGCTGTGGTCTAAACCACTGAGCCACTTAGGCTTGCCGATCGGAAGGGCGGCGGTTTGAATCCCCATGATGGGGTGAGCTCCTGTTGCTCGGTCCCAGCTCTTGCCAACCTAGCAGTTCGAAAGCACACCAAAAAGTGCAAGTAGATAAATAGGTACCGCTCCGGCGGGAAGGTAAACAGCGTTTCCATGCGCTGCTCTGCTTCGCCAGAAGCGGCTTAGTCATGATCCGGAAGCTGTACGCTGGCTCCCTCAGCCAATAAAGCAAGATGAGCGCCACAACCCCAGAGTCGTCAACGACTGGAGCTAACAGTCAGGGGTCCCTTTACCTTTACCTCCCAGGTCCCAGTCCAACACTCTAACCACTACCCTGCACTGTCTCTCTTTACATAGAATGATAAAAAACATTGTTCAAAAGCAGGCTTTAGAAACAGTGAACGTAATATATTTAGTTACCAAGATTTACATACCACTTAAAACTATTTACACATTGGAAACAGATGATAAAAAGTTACATCCCACTTGAAGAAGAAGAGTTTGGATTTGATGTCCTGCTTTATCACTACCCGAAGGAGTCTCAAAGCGGCTAACATTCTCCTTTCCCTTCCTCCCCCACAACAAACACTCTGTGAGGTGAGTGGGGCTGAGAGACTTCAGAGAAGTGTGACTAGCCCAAGGTCACCCAGCAGCTGCATGTGGAGGAGCGAAGACGCGAACCCAGTTCCCTAGATTACGAGACTACCGCTCTTAACCACTACACCACACTGGTCCATGTGAATGCAGGTTGAATCAACCCAAATCATTGCCTGGGAAGAAGGCAATGGCTGGAAAAGGTGTAGCGATGGCATTGCCAGAGTAAATCTTTAGGGCACATGTCTCGTGTCCTGCTAAGCAGAATGAACAGGAGGACCTCCAAACACAGCAAGCTTTGCTTGCCGCATGTTGAAGGAAGGGAAGTAATCACAGAATCATAGAATTGTAGAATTGGAAGGGACCCCAAGGGTCATATCCACCCCTTGGTATTGCAGGAATCTCAACAAGATCATACATGACAGGTGGTCATCCAACCTCTGCTTAAAAACCTCCAAGAAAGGAGAGTCTGCAACCTCCCCAGGGAGTCCTCTCCACTGTCGAACAGCTCCTACTTTTCAGAAAGCTCTTCCTGATGTTGAGTCGAAATCTCTTTTCTTGTAACTTAAAGCCAGTGGTTTAATGCCTACCCTCCAGAGCAGGAGAAAACAAGCTTGCTCCATCTTCCATGTGATAGCCGTTAACATATCTGAAGATGGTGATCATATCGCCATATGGACCATATGGACCATAAAGAAGGCTGATTGCCGAAGAATTGATGCTTTTGAATTCTGGTGCTGGAGGAGACTCTTGAGAGTCCCATGGACTGCAAGAAGATCAAACCTCTCCATTCTGAAGGAAATCAGCCCTGAGTGCTCACTGGAAGGACAGATCCTGAAGCTGAGGCTCCAATACTTTGGCCACCTCATGAGAAGAGAAGACTCCCTGGAAAAGACCCTGATGTTGGGAAAGATGGAGAGCACAAGGAGAAGGGGACGACAGAGGACGAGACGGTTGGACAGTGTCCATGGGGTCACGAAGAGTCGGACACAACTAAACGACTAAACAACAACAACAAACATCATATCTCCTCTTTTCCAGGCTAAATGTACCCAGCTCCTTCAACTGTTCCTCATCAGGCTTGGTTTCCAGACCCATGATCATCTTGGTCGCCCTCCTTTGCACACGTTCCACCTTGTCAAAGCCCTTCTTAAATTGTGGCACACAGAACTGGACACAGAAAGCCAGGCATGGACTGTACCAAGGCAAAATAGAGTGGGACTATTACTTCCCTTAGGGACGCGGGTGACGCTGTGGGTAAAAGCCTCAGCGCCTAGGGCTTGCCGATCGAAAGGTCAGCGGTTCGAATCCCCGCAGCGGGGTGCGCTCCCCTTGCTCGGTCCCAGCGCCTGCCAACCTAGCAGTTCGAAAGCACCCCCGGGTGCAAGTAGATAAATAGGGACCGCTTTCTAGCGGGAAGGTAAACGGCGTTTCCGTGTGTGGCTCTGGCTCACCAGAGCAGCGATGTCACGCTGGCCACGTGACCCGGAAGTGTCTCTGGACAGCACTGGCCCCTGGCCTCTTGAGTGAGATGGGTGCACAACCCCAGAGTCTGTCAAGACTGGCCCGTACGGGCAGGGGTACCTTTACCTTTTTATTACTTCTCTTGATCTGAACCCTATACTTCTGCACATTACCATTGAAAGAGAGACCCTCTCCCACCCCCAGGAAGTCCATTAGAGTCTGAAATTGTAGCCCTGGTGCTAAGGAGTGTGCTTTCCCAGAAGCCCATATCACATCTCAAAGGATCTGTTCAGTACTATTCCCAAAATGGTAGTCTGGGAAACAGACTGGTTTTGTTCCTCCGTTCTTTCATATTTTGAGACAGGACAGGCATCCACTATTGGCACCTTCCGGAAACAACTGAAGACTTTTTTGTTCCTGTAAACTTTCCCAGCTAGACAAATTGGTCTCTGCTCAGTATTCTTTTTAAATTTATATGCTGTTATTTTCGGTGTGGGTTACTGGGCTGTTTTTACTGCAACTTGTATATCACCTTGGGGCTGTTGAGGAAGGTGATTAATAAATTAATAAGAATATTTCCAACAAATCTCTGAGTGGTTTACGGCATCGTAAAAACACCACAAATAAATATAACTTACAAATCCATATTTTAAAGCAGTACAGATCGATTATACGGCCTCTTAAGACATCATCATAAACTGAAACAGCTAATATATGGGGGCCACGATAACCACGAGCAAATCCAAAATACAGGAATACGACCAGTCCCCCGCCCACACCAAATATGCAGTACAGTCATACCTCGGGTTGAAGTAGCTTCAGGTTAAGCATTTTCAGGTTGCACTCCGCGGCGACCCTGAAGTAACGGAGCGCGTTACTTCGGGGTTCGCCGCTCACACATGCGCAGACCCTCAAAATGGCGTACGCGCATGCACGGAAGCGGCGAATCACGACTTGCAGACATACGGACGCGGGTTGCGTTTGCTTCATGATGTGAATGGGGCTCCAGAATGGATCCCGTTCGCATCCAGAGGTACCACTGTATGCTCTTATAGGAAGCAATAGCCCTCTCACCTCTACTGCTGTCTCCCCAACTTGCTGTTGTTTAGTCGTTTAGTCATGTCCGACTCTTCGTGACCCCCTGGACCAGAGCACGCCAGGCACTCCTGTCTTCCACTGGCTCCCACAGTTTGGTCAAACTCATGCTGGTAGCTTCGAGAACACTAACCAACCATCTCGTCCTCTGTCGTCCCCTTCTCCTTGTGCCCTCCATCTTTCCCAACATCAGGGTCTTTTCCAGGGAGTCTTCTCTTCTCATGAGCTGGCCAAAGTATTGGAGCCTCAGCTTCAGGATCTGTCCTTCCAGTGAGCACTCAGGGCTGATTTCCTTCAGAATGGAGAGGTTTGATCTTCTTGCAGTCCATGGGACTCTCAGGAGCCTCCTCCAGCACCATAATTCAAAAGCATCCATTCTTCGGCGATCAGCCTTCTTTATGGTCCAGCTCTCACTTCCATACATCACTACTGGGAAAACCATAGCTTTTACTATATGGACCTTTGTTGGCAAGGTGATGTCTCTACTTTTTAAGATGCTGTCCACAACTTAAGCTCACCCTTAAAGGTGGGGTGAAAATACTCCCCCACTCCTGAAGCGTCTCGCTTTCAGCAGGCAGCATCTACAATCATAGAATCATAGAATTGTAGTGTTGGAAGG